TATTATTAATAATAATTATTATCCCAAATTGCTGCCTTGTCATTGCACCCTTGGCTCTCAGCACACAGCAGACAACTTAACTGTGCTTCTCTTGTGCTTATCTAAGAGCATCCTCTTCCTCGCTGCCTGGGAGAGTGCAAGCTGACTGCTTTCCAATGGGAAATCCACTCTTGTAAAGGATTCAGTCCCCAGGCAAGTGGGCAGCACTGGCCCACGGGACTTGGCTCCTCCGCCCAGGGATAATTGATATCCGTCATGGCACGGCTCTTTAGATCCAGAGAACAAATAGGAAAGCAGATGATGGACGCCCCATCCCGCTCCTGTCACACAGAGTCCCGGGGAGCGGCATCAAGCAGATTTTTTGCCTGTGTTGAGGCACAGCGTGACGGTGACAGCATCTCTCCACGCACGAGTCCTGCAAGCATCTCGTGTGCAAGACAGATCTCTCCCCGTGGGATGGGCTGGTGGGGGTTCCTGGGCCACAGCCAGGGATGTTTGCTTTGATATGGGGAGAAGCGGCTGCAGCTCTTGCTCCTGGCATGCTGCCTGTTCTCTGCCTGCTGCCTGTTCTCTGCCCACTGCTCTTCCTGGTGCATATTTCAGCTCTGTGAGGGGAGCGATGGGCTGAGAGGAAGGACAAAGTCACCTCTGGATTTGTTCCAGCACCCTCGTGAAGTGGAGGGGATGCTGCTGCTGCTGCTGCAGGGAAGTGTCGTCCATCAACTTCCCACCATCCTGTCCCTCACCTCCAAGTGACGCGAGGCACCAGCTCAGCCTCCCTCCCGACTCCTCCAGCCCTTTTCACGGCAGGTCAAGGTCGCTCAGGGTTGAAGATGACTTCTAGCAAGGTCTCTAGAGCTTTTTTGGCAAGCAGTAATCTTCTCCGGGTGCCAGAGGCCTGTTGGCCTCTCCCGTGTGGTTATTTCCACCGCAGACTCCCGACTGCCTTCTCCCATAAGGTCTGATCCTGTGTGATGCTGAGCTGCCTCCCACCCTGACTGGGACCGGACCCGCGCTCCCCCAGCATCCCTGCGACAAACCCCTGGGACCGGCACCTTCCCCAGCGCGGTACTCACGTGGTGATGGCGGTGGTGGATAACTTCATCGTCGTCCTCATCCTCATCTTCATCGTTGATGATCACGGTGCGGACCAGTTTCCGCATGGCCACCTCCTGCGGGGGACAGGAAAGGAGTCGGGGGAGTTCGGTGCCTGCCGACCCCCCGTGCCCCGAGCCGGTGCTGCCGTCAGGCTCTCACCTCCCCGTTGGAGTTGATCAGGGCAGTGCGCAGGCTGTCCCCGGAGCCCCAGCTGCTCTGGGCTTTCCACACCACGTTGCTGGGGGGACTATGGGTCGCCCCAGCCCCTGAGGCCCAGATCTAGGGAGAAAAGCACAGAGAAAAGCAACGTCTCAGGTCTGCAGAGCCCAGACCCCAGGGACACGGGTCTGTCCCCCAAAAAAAAGCCACGCGCCAAGGAGCCTGCGCCCTGGCTCCAACCGCTCTGAGTCACCGAAGGCCTGGCTCGGTTTGGGATCTCGGCTGGATCCGTCACCAGGCGGTGACTCACCGTGACCACCTGGCCAGCCTTCAGGGTGAACTTCGGGGGGAAGCGGTAGGTGATGGGGGGATCATCTCCATTCTGCCGCTTGACCTGCCAGTTCCCCATCGCCTGGTCCTGCCAGAAAGAGAGTAGCAACCTTGAGATCCCCCGGTTCCTCCCCACCTTGTCCTGCTTCACCTCCCGCCTGCCTGCTCAACTACACCCCCAGGGATCCCAGGGATCCTCCCCGAAGGAAAACCCACCTCGTTGGACTTGTTCCTGAGACGGACGAATCTGCCCTCCAAGTCCACCTCCTCCACACCGACGCGGCCGCTTGTCCGGGCGTGGTGGGAGAAGCTGGTCCGACTCTCGCTGTCTTCCAGCTTCCTCTTCTTGGAGGAGCCCGGGGTGGACAAGTGGCTACGGGATGCACCTTTGTGGGAGGAAGGGCTGGGGGACAGCCTCAGCCTGGGCCGAAGGAGAAGGTAAGATGGAGTCAGTAAGGACACAAGGGCTGGGACCCGCCACAGCACACCGGGTGCAGCGCCCCGTCCTCACCGCTCCTCCTCGCCCTCCAGCAGCTTGCGGTAGGCATTGATCTCCATGTCCAGAGCCAGCTTGATGTCCAGCAGCTCCTGGTACTCGTCCAGCTGCTGCTGCATGCGTGCCCGCATCTCGGCCATCTCCCGCTCCTTGTCGGAGAGCAGGCGCCGGCTGGTCTCGCGTTCCCTGGCCAGAATATCCTCCAAATCGTGCAGCTTCGCCTCCTTGGCGGCCAACTGTGTGGGGAGGGAAGGAGAGGGTGGCTGCTCCACCTGGGGCCATCCCCAAGAGGGGGCCATCCCCAAGAGGGGACCATCCCCAGGGGCGGACATCCAGAGGAATCCCTCGGTGCTGACTCACCTGCTTCTGCAGCTGGCTGACTTCAGAGGAGAGGCTGTCGATGCGGAGGTGGGTTTGCTGCAGCTCCTCGTGGGCAGCACCCACCATGTTGCTGTTCCTCTCAGCCGACTGCTTGGCGTTCTCCAGCTGGAGGACAAGATGGGTGGGTTAGCATCCCCAGCACCCTCCGCCCGCCAGCGCTCTGCAGGGCAGGGTGGGAAGAGGACGG